GCCACCTCGCGCAGTGCCTGCCGCCCGGACCCGACCCCGCCAGTACGTGCCCCCCACCGCACCCCTGCCGCCCCCCAGTCGACCTCGTATAACGCGCGTCTCTAAGGGCGAATTTACATTACGAAATTAGTGGTATGATATTAATTTCGTGACATTAGTTTCACCAACAGTTTCACGTGTAATTTAATACTTTCGTAATGCATGCATTAATTTCATGCATGGAAATTAGTTTCGTGCCCTGCGCGATTTTTTGGTGATATTAGTGTCATGCAACTAATTTCATAGTGTAGACGCGACATGAACTGGTGTCGTGAAAGTGCCTGCACTTTCATATCAACGACAAGATTGTCTCCGGGACCCGAAACACCTACAGTAAAAAATTAAAATTATCTTTACTCATTCGAAAATAGTTTTTATAGCTCTCAGGATTTTCATCTGTTAATTCAGAGACTAACTTCATTGCACCTAAATGCCATCTTGTTAACCATCCTCGAATCTACCAACGTCCTTTTGTTTGATAATCTTTTTTTAAGTTTATATATAAGCATTTCTTTAACTACGTTGAATATAGCAAATTATAGCTTTGATGCTGACGGCGCCATGGTTACTGCGATACTGAGGATTTCGCGACACTAATTTTTTTACGAAATTACTTTTGCATATATCGAAATATCTTACTAACTACTACAGAATACTTTCGTGAAACTGAGTTGAACATGCATGACACTAATTTCGTAATGTAAATTCCGCATAACGACAGATATCCTCTGCAAAGACATCAAGGCGGAGATGAAGCTCCTGACGGCGCCGAGCGAGGCGGCGGGGAGCCCCGGGCCGCGCCCCGCCGCCGCCGCCGCCATGACGGCCGCCGACTTCGACGCCGTCAACGTCAGCCCCTCCACCTGCATCATCACACTGAAGGTGGGAGCTGTGCCGAGTGCACGTTGTGTGATTGTTGTGTTCATAAGAATAAATAATCCCGTCCGTAGCTGGAATAGCCTCCTAGGCTACCAATGAATAGATAGGAAAAAAAAACCCCACTCCAATCTGATCTGGTGGTTTACATAGTGTCCCCGCAGTTCCCGATGGGTGCTTTGTTTAATGAAGGCTGTTCATTTTGCACCGGAGATGACTCCACTGGCGAACAGCTCCAAGTCAAATGGACAAACAAACTTTCATTATTGTTAACAAGACATCAATAGAGTGCGAGCTATCAACACACACTGTTCCACCAGGAAGCGGTGTGCCAGCTGCTGGACGGGGGCTCCCCGGGGGGGCTGGGGGGGCTGCTGTCCGCGTGCGCGCTGGCGTGCTCGCCGCGCAACGTGTTCTGTCGCCCGCCGACACAGCGCGCCATACTGCAGCTGTCCGTGGACCTTTGCGTCATATACGGTATGTTGTCCCAGAGTTAATGTAGTTGAGGCTGCAACGTCACCAGTGTTTGGTTTACTATAGACATAGCGGGTAGGTACCACCACCCCGCCTATTTCTACCGGCTTGAAAAGTGGGGCAGCCGTTGTACTGATAAACTAAAAAATGAGAACTCATATTTCAAGGTTGGTGATGGCATTCACGTTGTTGATGTCCATGAGTTTCAGTAACCATTATGATCAAGTTGGGCGTGAGCTCATCCAACCTTGCAATAGAAAATTAAAAACTAAATTATCTTTAAATGATGTACACTTGGGTCACACTAATTATAATTAATTAATAACTTCAGTTCACGGATGACTAGTTTTTTAAATATCTCTTTTATTCTTAAAATAAATGTGTGCTTAGATATATTATAATGATATGGAATATTCTAAAAGTGGTTATAAAAACAATAATAAAATACTTAATTGCGTTTTCTGTACAATATTAAGAAAACAACATTTAAAGCCTTTATTTTCCACAAAATATTTTACACAGTATTCTTGAATTAAATAAAACTGAACTCGCTTTTTTCCCTCAATGACAGAGAGTTCAGTCAATATCTATATATGTAATTTGTGAAGCAAAAAACTTTGTACCTTTTTTACGAAAACTGTGTAGACGGAGGTATTTTATTTAAATTATGCATTCATAATACATTAAATCAATAAAACACACATTACACATACTACCATGTGTTTAACACATACACACATATATTCTTTGTTTATTGTCAAACTTTTGTTATTATTTAAAGTCTGTGGTCAAATTGAGAATAGACTAATATTGTTTATCTTTAATATTATTTATTTATAGTGTAATTTTGGGGAAATCTGTGATTATAGAAGCTTAATAGCCCTTGACAACAAAACCATAATAACGTTCAAACTTTTAATTTCAATTTCGACTACTGCGGGACCAATAAATAGTATATAAGAAAAATTCCTTTTAACTAAAATGGTTATAAAATTGTGTATGTATGTACATAAAAAAGTTTTTTCTTTACACATATATTTTTATTTCAGTGAGCAGAAAGCCAAACGAACTAACGGACGAGTTCCTGAACGCTCTGCACGGCGTGTGGGACACGTGCTGCCCGGACCGCCCCCGGCCCCCGCCCCCCGACCTCGCCCCGCCCCCGCGCGCCCCCGACTCGCCGCCCGACGAGGACAGAGCGGGGGCGGCGGGGGGTGCGGGGCCCGGGGGGGCGGCGGACGAGTGCCGCGGGCTGCTGGAGCTGTTCGACCACATCCTATGTCCGCGGAACATCGTTATCCTGAGCGCGTCCCCCGGCGCCAAGCCCGACGTGTGGGGGCGCCTCGCCGCCGTGCTCGTGTACCTGCTGAGGAACTACTTCCTGAGCGAGGACTCCCTCACGGAGCAGTGCCTGGCCGTGTACCGGCAGGACTGGCCGCAGGTACGTACACGCAAGCTGTGGTCCCGGGACCTCAACCGGAGCCTGGGCGTTTGTGGCTCTGGCTATTTCAAAGATACGCCACGGATTCTCACAGCAGAAATCTTCAGAACGCATCCGCAGCGTGTGACGTATTTGTGGTTAAAATATTTACAGAATTTTTTGACATTTTCGCATATCGTAAATTTAAAATGCTTTTACATTGATCGTGGTCACGGAGGACAATGAGCCCCCACTAACTGCGGGTTCCGTTTCCAGTCGACCCTCAAGAGCCTGTCATCCTGCATGAAGTCGGTGTCGTCGAGCTGGTGCCAGTCCTCGACGGGGAAGTTCACGCTGTTCCTGGACTTCCTGGCGGAGTACTGCGGGGACATGGACTACGAGCCCGCCGACTGACGCACAGCTCCACGGGCCCAACAGTCGCCGAGGGCGCTGTACGAATGTAGTACTCGAGTGCTGACGTCACGACGACTAAAAAGTACATTACAGAAAAGTTATATATATATCGATTTAATTTATATAATAATATGTATATAAATACCTGGACCTGGACCTCGCCGAGATGAGCGGGTTAGACAGAAAAAAATCATAGTTTATTATTAAAGCATGTTTTGTTGTAACATTACGTCGAAACACCACAACAAAATATATTAGAAGTAGCGCCTTATCTACGAATTCAATCTAATTATTTAATAAGTAAGGATACGATATTGGTGATGCCCGTGGACAGATGCACGAGTCGTCAGCTGGCGGCGTTGTGGCCACGCGAACTTCAAGTGCCATCTGTTTTAATTTTGGTAACCCTTTTAGCGCTGAGCTTATTTTCAATTATTTGATCGCGTCGATATATCGACGGTTCGCGCTCAAAGGGGTGTTTCTGCAGGTTTGAATGGCAGACTGTTTAGCGTCTGCGCGAGCGGGGGGGAATCAAACCCACTGAAAGTAACTTGGCGAAATCCTCCAAAGACTCCACTGAAGTCTTTAGTAAACAACTGCCACTGTACAGATAATGAATTAAATTCAACTCATTGATTTTATATAATTTTTTATAAAACGGAATGTAAAAAAAAAAAGCTTGGCTTAAAGGTCTCATTACCGGGACAAGAAATCTTCAAAATTAAAAAGCTGGACCTCTAATGGTGTCTTAAAGGACTTGGAACTAATTAACTGAACGTGCATTTAATTACATAAGTTGTTTTTTTTTTATTAATGACATCCCATCTCAGTTTAATTCCATTAAATAATAAAGTCCAATCAATTATATTCGTTTTGCACTATGCATTTTTATAACCAGGAGTTGCGATGAAGTTTTTAAGCTTAAACGAGTCTCGTCCAGACTCATCTATACAGAACTAGTCGGTGGGGGGGCAGGGCCGGACTCAAGCATGGGGGCTCTTCAACCGAAGGGGGGGGGGTGGAATTTGGTACATTATTGAAAATAAAATGCATACGATTTACGTGCTTTATTTCGTTAACTCGGTGTGCCTTCGAGCTTAAGCTTTTGATAATGAAGGCTTTTTGGTCGCTTAATAGGGGTCCCGAGATGGGGGACCTAATCCGCTGATGTGTCCCTCGTCTCATGAGGTCTCTGGTGCGACAGATACACACCGCTTGAAGGCTTCTGGTCGCGGAATATTTGTGTGTATACATGTCGTCCGCGTCATTATATTATGATATGGAGCTGACATGTGTGGAGATGTTAACCAAAAACTAGTGGGGCGTGTGTTTCGCTTCGAGTAGATTCGGTTACTAACTGCCTCTGTGTTATCCCTGTAACGTTTTTATAGTCGATACGACATCCCTAGGATTATCGAGAACATTCCTGACAGGTCGAGTAATTTCGATATGTGTTTCCGCTGTTTTATAATAGATGGCGTTGCACTTTTCGAGCGTTCTCGATTTTACAGGTTCTTTCGTTTCGCTATTCGACGGTAGATGGCGTTACTCTTACCTGCGTACACGCAACAATATCTTAAAATGTTTTCACGTGTTTGAGGAAAAATTAAAAAACTTTTATTGATTTATTTCGGTTTTATTCAACTAATATAATTGAGGCCCTCCGTGACTCACGGAAACAGTAAAGTTTTCGCGATGCATGTATAAGTTTTTTTTACTTAAATACCAAAGTCCCGACTGTGTAAATGTTGACAAAGCTTACGACTGTCGAACTTAAAGCTGCCGTTCGTTCCGTCCAAATGAACTGCTTATCCCCAGAAGTCACTTCCTCCAGGTAACCAACGAATAATAATATATAACATGCGGTATACTCAATTTTAATTGGCATTTTAGATTCAAGGATGTTTATAGATAAATAAAAATGTACTTTAAGAGTAATCTGACAAATAAATTAATGGAAATGGCAACACCACGTAATGTATTAATGTGAACATGTAACACCATGTACATAGGTGTCTTATTGGAATAAAAATAAGAAAGTACAGTATTTTATTAGAAAAAAAATGTATGTAAAATAAATATATAAATAATTAATAACATCACTGACTTTTATTTACTAAAAAAAGTTGTTTGTGTGTCGGTTCGTTCCTACCGTAAGCTGCGGGTGCCAGACCCCTGGCTGGTCATCAGACCGTCACATTAGGACAGTGTCAATGTCAGGTCAATTAAGTAACTGTATAGTGGGGTCTGGTTTCAGCAAGATTAGAGTGTCTTGACTTTATCATGAATATATTATATTATGGGTGTGTATGTTTTTATATGTATGTTTTTTTTATTTCTTTAATTTATTAGATAAATAGAGAATTTATAAGCTTAGATGGGTGGATGAGTTCGTAGCCCACCTGTTGTTAAGTGGTTACCGGAGCCCATAGACATCTACAACATAAATGCGCCACCCACCTTGAGATATAAGTTCTAAGGTCTCAGTTTATAACAGTATACAACGGCTGCCCCGCCCATCGAACTGAAACTCATTACTGCTTCACGGCTGAAATAGGCAGTAATTACACAAATTGCGTTTTTTGCGGGTTTGAATTTTATTAAACGATGTTATTCCTTTATCGTGAAAGTCGCTTGTGAACATGGGCTAAGTAATTTCATTAAAAAAATCGTTATCCGCCTTCGTGTAGTAAACAGTCAACGTCGCCCAAAACACCTCATTTCGGATCCTCTCGATCCACTAACGGTGCTTTTAGGTACCCCAAGCACCGGTCACAGTCCTGGCCGAATCCGTCGCTTGCGACAAAGGGCTCGACGACCGTATTAACCCACAGACACAGCCCACTGAGTTTCTCAGTGGGTCGCGTATCCGATCCGGTGGTAGATTCTGCGAAGCACTGCTCTTGCCAGTGTTAGCCATGTCCATACGTTGAAGCCCCGTGAGCTCACTTACTCGTTCTGAGAATCTATCATGACCCCTCGAGGTCACTACAATAAGTAGGAAAAACATACGTATCGATAGGAATGCACCGGAGGTCTTAACGTTTAGGCCGCGACGAATTCATCTGTAGAAATTGTTTTATTGCTACCACTGGACACGGATTGATATGTTTTTTTACAGTAATAGCATTAGGTCGAGAGATTGCATTGACTGCATTATTATCTGTGTTATTATTAACTTTAAAAAAATCAATTAAAATCATTCGTTGACCATGCAGCCGAAGCAGCGGCTATTACGCCCTGGCCATATTTAATTCGAGAACTAAAAACATTACATCATTTCGGTCCTTTGCTCTTTTTAGATTTAGTCTGTTTGCGCGTTGGACGTCTAGACATCGTGGTCGTAGTTAGCTCGAACTCAAATGGCGCCCACGTGGACTTCCGTTCTAAGATCAACTTGGAATCAGCAGGAAATAATTTGAACGTCGTCATTTCGACGCAGCCTGTACCCCGATGCAAGGGATACCACACTGAAAGAAACAGTAAATCAAACGTTTTAATATGGGTAATTCAGTTCTACCAACCCAGCGAATTGATGTGTAGATTGAAGCAGTAAGGCGAGGTGAGCTGTCTTAAATGGGGGCAGGGAGTTTCACTTTAGTCCAGTTGTGGGCAACATTTTGAAACTCAAGAACCCACTTGCACTAGCCAGTGGTGCGATATGAATGCAGCTGTAGAAGGAGTAAAGTGTGATTTTGGCGCCATTTCTGAAGAGACACCTTTAGCTACGGTGGCGCCGCCCAGATTGGTCGCGTTTCGACGGATACTTTTTGTTATACAGGAGTGTGTTCCTCACCTCTACCCTCCTGCCAAACGATGAGCTAATAAAGCCACCTATAAAGTACGCTGTGTAGTGGCGAATTTACACATTTGCCACGAGTCCTCCTCCTCCTTGAATCGATCGCTCATTGCTGAGCATCGTGACGCGCCCGCCTGTGAAACTTTGTGATTTGTAACCACTTATATCGGTCAGTAGCTAAGTGAAGTGCGCGGTCAGTTTCGTCTCCAGTTACTGGGATACTTGGTCACTCCATTTTTTTTTGGCTCCGCCCTCTGGATCGTCTTCCATCCGCTTTGGAGAGACTTATAGGGTAAACCCCATAAGTCTCTCCAGGTTGTCAAGAGTTTTCTTGCTATATTACGAAAATAATGGAGCACTTTATATGGGCATATTATTATGGTGGATAGCCTCTGGTCAACTTCCGTATCCAACGTATTCGTGGTCAACTTCCGACATCTGAGACAATATCAAACAAAGGTTTACTCACTTGGCCCTGAAATATTGAAAAGTGTTGCATAAGTTATTAAGACAAATTTCGTTTGGGGTTTAATAATAAATAGTATTCTTTATTAATTATGCAGCAGAATCCATTCAGACTATCTGGATCTGCCACATTCATTGTCAGTACGTTCCCAGAGATCTTCTCTGTACCAGGCGCCTTGTGACTTTGGAACGAACTCTCTTCCACGGTAATTCCCGAGCATTGTGACAAATCTTTCCTCAAACGAGTTTTGCGGAGAGTACTTAGCGGTAAGCTTGGCTAAGCCCCTGGCATTGCTGTCGTCCATAACGACGTTAACCACTTACCATGAGAGGGGGGAAGGGGGCATATTTTCGTCGGCCCAAAAAAACAATAACAAAATACTGAATAATCTTCAGTAAATTAGGGAAAAATATATTTTTTTGCTTAGATACATGGATGCAGTTCACGTCCCACTTGGTGTTAAGTGGTAACTGGAGTTCATAGACACGAACAACCTTCTGACATGAGTTCTGAATCTCAAATAGTACAACGGCTGCCCCATCCTTCAAACCGAAACGCATAACTGCTACCCGTACATCAAAAGCTGCGATAATACCAGTAAATGTGCCACTAATCAAATTAAGACTTGATTTGGTTAAATCTCGTTTAATTGGCAGAGTCTCCACGTCGGTAGCACAGCTTTGTTAGAACGAACGTACTTTTGGACGGGGTTTTGCAGTTCTCGCGCTCCAGGTCGCACATGCTGGGGAACCATTTATGTTCGTACTGCCACTTCCCCGTATTCGTGTTGAAACGTTGTCCGCAGACTGGACCGAACCTGGACGATATGCCGCGTGTCAACAAACCGGTTTTAGAATAATGAAAACACGCGATATTAAACAGTTAAATTAGTTTGAGGTTGTTAGTGAGGCTATTTATGGTTGGTGTGTATTGTCATCCAGAAACCTCATCGGTGCGATCAATAAAACAATACATATGACGGATAGACTGGTTCCATGGTGTTTTTAAAATGATGACGTCAGCTTTGCTTACGCCATTTTCTTCATCGTTATCGTTGCCTTCCATAGTGACAGTAATTAAGACTCACTTTTCCAATTAATTCCCTTTATTACATTTCAAGTGTACAACGACAACAACAGAGAGCTCCGCTCCGTTCGACTGTTCGAGCTGGAATGCTTTGTGCGACAATAGTCACTCGTACTTACAGTAGAAGAAGGTTGGGGTAGCCTAGTCATGAATTATCTTGAATACAGTCTTAAGCAGTTGATGACATGGGTAACATTAAGGAAACAGTTAACTTTAACTATTTTTAGTTAACTAAATAGTGAAATTACGCCGATAATTACATGCTTATTCGTGTCAGCGACCGCGGTGGATCGCTACAACTAACTGCACTGACTAACATATTGTCAGTTGTTGACATATATTGACTAAAGCCGCTTTGAGACTACGCTATAATATACATAATAGCATATAGTATATAGATCATAGCACAACAATATCGCACACCATACATTGTTATGGACACGTTCACATTGTTCATATATTATTGGCTAAGTATAGGCTGCTATACTATATGGCACTATAGTAGAGCGTAGTCTAAAAGCAGCTTTACATATACTCCCCTACATTCGTTTTAACTGTGTCTATGACTTGCTGAAACAGAGGGTAATCATAAATAGGATATACATTAAGGTAATAATGAATGTAGGTCTTATTTTGGAATTTTTGTGCGTTGATTTTTTTTTATTGCTTAGATGGGTGGACAAGCTCACAGTCCACCTGGTGTTAAGTGGTTACCGGAGCCCATAGACACCTACAACGTAAATGCGCCACCCACCTTGAGATATAAGTTGTAAGGTCTCAAGTATAGTTACAACGGCCCCACCCTTCAAACCGAAACGCATTACTGCTTCACGACAGAAATAGGCAGAGTGGTGGTACCTACCCGCGCGGACTCACAAGAGGTCCTACCGCCAGTAATTAAATTATAATTTTGCGGGTTTGACATTTATTACACGATGTTATTCCTTCACCGTGGAAGTCAGTCGTGAACATTTGTTGAGTACGTATTTCATTAGAAAAATTGGTACCCGCCTGTGATTCTTACACCGGTGCATCGCTCAACACGAATGCACCGCACATCTTATCCTTCAGGCCAAGACGACTGACCAGTTATAGGTATCTATAGTAGAATTATTTTCTCCGTGCAGTTTGGGTAATAAAAAATCGGAGCGGTGAAGCGAGTATTTCGCTCTCTCTTCCACGCACGAGCCTTATGGACGGGCATAGTGATGCGCATTATTGTTGTCGATAAGCGTTATCGATAGTGTATTTAGTGTTGTCATTTTGTAGGTTAGTGATAGAAATAAAAGAAAAAATCACTCATCGAACACTTACACCACATATCGCCGCAGCAAGTTAACGAGAACGGCAGAAATTAACACTTTGTAACTTTTCGGGATCTATTCTTATTTCAGTGAAAATTTTTAACACATTGTTGATACCAACACGTGCAAATATTATTTTGAATAAATTCTGCCGTTGTGATACAAAACAAAGGAGTAGCCAGCCATTGTGTCACTAAAGAAATTCAGAGAACGAATGCATAAAAACACCTTTCTCTTCGACATAATGTACTATAATTTGCAGGTAAGTACAAATGACTCATAACATAACAATGTCTCACCACCCTTCGTATACCACCCCGCCGCCGTGTACCTGCCTTCGATGACTCATTTGTTTTTATCGATAATGCCGTTGCGCCCGCGCAACAAGCTACCGCCCTAGCCGGGCTATGTTTTATGACCCAAACTGCATGGACAAAATAATTCTACTATAGTATCTTCTTTTTTTCCACCTTTTCCCACTAGGTGGGGTCGGCACAGCAATTTTTTCTCTTCCAATCTCTTCTATCAGCCGTCATCTCAACACTCTCTCATATCGTCATTCACACGCTCCATCCATTTCTTCTTCGGTCGACCTCTTCCCCTCTACCTTGCACTACCGTTTCCATATTTCCATAGAATGTAAAGAGAAAATTCGATTGGCAATGTAATAAAAATCAAAAGAAATCAAATGCGAAGCCATTTTGAAGTTTGTACTCACACGTCTCTGTAAATGGTCATACACATTACATTGCAGTCTCTGTACAGCGACATTGAGCCGTTGATCACGTGCTTCTTCGGCGGACGGACGCCAGGAGGTGCGCCGGGTTTCAAGCGAGGTCCTATCGAAAAGAATAATCCTTGAGCCCTCTACGGATTCACCTCGGCTGTGATAAGACCATTCGGAAAAGTTCGCCAAATTATAACGATTTGAAAGGACCTTTGAATGCCTAGTTTTATCAAAAGAATCTACTGCCTTTCTCAGTTCTGCATTAGAGCTCCTAATTTACTACACGAGTTAAGAAATACAAGTGAACATCAATATGAATCGGGCAGATCTTTTTTTATGAATAAGGCTTTACTAGTGGCCCGGAGGCTTCTCCAGTTTTACCAGGACATGTGGGCGAGCAAAGGCTCAGCCAGGAGGGGTGGGATTTGTTAACTGCTGCCCGAGCTCCTCCAAAGGAGACCTAACAGCTCAAGAGGCAGATCTCTATCAGCATTGCGAAAAGGATTCGCGACACGGAGGGTGTTTCAAAAAGTTACTTTTACTAGAGGTAATACCGAATTATTTTGGTTCAAGATACCTGTGACTGTATATGTCGAGGGGCGAAAGGCTATTTATGTTTAAGCGACATTTCGCTTAATAATATATCTTTTTTAAATAAAGGTCAGTTTATTTGGTATTAATATTAAGAATTCGATGTTTTTAATTGAACTTCAATTAAGTTTACTCCATTCAAATAGCCGAATAAGTTATTTTATTAAAATTGCAAAAATGGCGGTTGAATGGTAGGTACATATGTATATGCCAATAAGGTATATTTTGAACCTTCTAGTACTATTATATATCAGACAGGGAAACCGAAAAGCCCATAGACATCTACAACGTAAAAGCGCCACCCACCTTGAGATATAAGTTCCAAGGTCTCAGTTTAGTTACAACGGCTGTCCCACCCTTCAAACCGAAACGCATTACTGCTTCACGGCAGAAATAGGCAGTATCTGTTTTCCCAACACAGTCGAGACTTTAGGCCCTGTGGAGCGCGCGATTTATTGTAAAAGTCCTTTTGATATCAGGCGCTACAGCACTCATCTCAAAACGGGTCAACCTCTAAAACAAGGATCAAACTTTAATCTCACGTTTGGTCATTCTACTTTTAGGAAGTCCCGTTGTTGTTAATCTGAAACAGTAATCATTAGACGTGAATAAAAATCGACATCGCGTCCTTGAGTAGTGCGATGACCAATCGCGTCAAATCAATCAAATGTGTATCTATTAATAATAAAACATGCTTATGTATGTGATTTGTTTGTTGTCCATGCCAGTCATGCAGCCCAGCATAGACTGAGCAGGATAATCCGAGAGACAGTTATTCGGAGAAGCCACGACCTTCAGAATTAAAGTATTATCAACCCCAAGGGGAGAGATTTGTTGTTGGAGATGCCAGATCCGCATCAGTCTATACGCTACTGAAAAACGACTTACAATTTACCGACGGTGTGATGATGATGATGATGATGATGATGATGATGATGATGATGAGTAGTTGAGGTCGGCAGCACGCAGCCCGGCTCCTGCTTACCTCAGAAACACCCATTGTCCATTCTGCCAGTACGGCTCATAGTAAGTTTCCTCGCGTCCATCATGGTTGTCTTCGTTCAAAAAGTCTTCCAGCTCGTTGAAGCCTTCAGGTACGTTCTCGTAGTTACGGAACGCTATGTTGCTGGCGCTGTGGAAAGCTGATGATTAATTGGACTCAGCCATGCTCCCTTACTGGACCCTAACGGCCGAGAGCACATGCCTGTTAACTCTTTGACTGCCGTGTAGGTCACCGCATAAATAATACACACAAAATAGTCATGATGATGAATTAGTGATGTCAGTAACAAATTACCTATCCTATATTTTGTTTTTTAATGAAGGATTTTGTAAATTTTCAGAAACCACTAATTGATAAAATTTAATCAATTTGTCTTTATCAAATAAAGACTTGTATGATTTTATTTTTATTTTTTTCTGTGTTTATTTACACTCTGTTACACAATAGTTAGGTAAATGTCTTAACTTTAAGAACGTATAAGTTAACGGGCATCCGCTACAAGATGTCGATAGTTTCCATACAAAAAAAATATTTGTCCTAAAGTATCGCAGTTTCAGGATCCTGGGTCACCAGTGCCCTACGCGGCGCACTGAAGTAACCGAAGGGTTTTGGGATATAATGATTAAAATATTTATAATATCTATCTACTTACTATTTTTGATCTTTAAATTGTGCCGTTTCATTTTCAATACTGGAGGTTTTGACTGTTAAATTAAATATAAACATTGAGATGATATCGAAACAAATTTATATTGATTTCATGAATTACAAAACTTACGAATACACGAAACGAAAATTAAAAAACTATAAAACATTATTATGTTGATGTTGTGCCCATGTTTTATCCAACACTATTAATTATTTACTGCTTCGTGAAACTACTGAATACAATACAAAAGTTAATCACACGGTTGACTAAGAAAGACATTTAGAACGAAAAACATTACGTCGGCAAGTTTAGTGGTGGTAGGACGGTAGCAACTCACGGATCCTGCCTATTTTCGCTGTGATTCTGTTAGGATGTCTTGTGAGTCCGCACGGGTAGCTACCACCACCCTGCTGCCTATTTCTGCCGTGAGCAGTAATGCGTTTCGGTGAGGCAGCCGTTGTACTCTACAAACTGAGACCTTAGAACTCGAGGTGGGTGACGTTGTAGATGTCTACGGGCTCCAGTAACCACAGCAGGTGAGCCGTAAATCCGTTCACCCATCCGAATAATAAAAAATAATAATTTCGTAGAGTATTTGTTGTTCGTAAATTCACAAGTTTACATGCTATAATAATTATTATACGTCTGACAGAAATAAAATACCACATAAACTTGAAGGCTTTAGAAGTCGTCGTGGCCTAAAGGATAAGACGTCCGGTGCATTCGTATGTAGCGATGCACCGGTGTTCGAATCCCGCAGGCGGGTACCAATTTTTCTAATAAAATACGTACTCAACAAATGTTCACGATTGACTTCCACGGTGAAGGAATAACATTGTGTAATAAAAACCAAACCCGCAAAATTATAATTTGCGTAATCACTGGTGGTAGGACCTCTTGGGAGTCCGCACGGGTAGGTACCACCACTCCGCCTATTTCCGCCGTGAAGCAGTAATGCGTTTCGGTTCGAAGGGTGGGGTAGCCGTTGTAACTATACTGATACCTTAGAACCTATATCTCGAGGTGGATGGCGCATTTACGTTGTAGATGTCTATGGGCTCCAGTAACCACTTAACACCAGGTGGGCTGTGAGCTCGTCCATCCATCTAAGCAATAAAAAAAAAACTTGAAGGCAAAAATTAATTGTTAACTTAGTTTTAGAACTAAAAACGATTTGCAGTTCGTGACAAAGGGTACAATACGGAAATAAAACAGAGTATCATTATAAATGTATTAATATATATAAAATGAATAATCACAATACAAAACCTTATTAACAGATTTGCTTAAACATCAACAGATGTTGTAAAAATGTCGTGTTCTCAAAGGCGTTGATTTTTTTATTTTTAGGTAATACGAAAAATTAGGAAATTATTATTTTAAATAAAATAATGGTCTTTGAGACCAGGGGTGGGACGCATGATAAAATACCTCCCGTAGTACTCAACGGAACGCCATTGACAAGAGTTTATAAATTTAAATATCTCGGCCATGTGTTGACCCCTGATCTCAAAGATGATGAAGATATTGAACGAGAGCGGAGAGCGTTGTCGGTTAGAGCAAACATGATAGCTCGCAGGTTTGCACGGTGTTCACTTAAAGTCAAGGTCACCCTCTTTAGGGCCTACTGTACTAACTTTTACACGTGCAGCTTGTGGGCTGGATATACTCAAAGATCGTACAATGCTCTCCGTGTTCAATACAATAACGCGTTTAGGGTGCTGGTGGTGCTGCCCCGCTTTTGTAGCGCATCAGGGATGTTTGCAGACGCGCACATAGATTGTTTTTACGCTACCATGCGTAAGAGGTGTGCATCTCTGGTAAACAGAGTGAGGGCCAGCTCCAACAGTATCCTGAGCATGATCGCAAGCAGGCTGGACTGTATATACATGGGTCGCTGTGGTGCCATCTCCCATGGGATGTTACCACAGTAATTCATTGTGATGTAAATATAAATACTAACATAGGTCTAAGTCTTATTAACAATTTATATGAGTCATGGATACTTGAAATAAAAACATTATTATTATTATTATTATAATAATGGGTAAGGGTTTTTAGCAAATGAATGAATTTGATATTATTTTATTTGACGGTTGGTACTTCTAACGGCGTCCCATTTAAATGTATTCAAGATATGTTGAATGGTTTTTGAGTTATTTTAATTAACTTCGACAACAATCATGAACTCAGTTTATTTTGTTAAAGTCTTAACGCTGTTTCTCTCAACTTGGCAAAGCGGGGGCGCTGACCCGACGCTTCGTTGAATTTCCATTGCGCGGTAAATAAAAACATTACTGAACACATTTTTTCTTAATGTTTTTTATGACTATCGTGTTACGGTATTACCGGCGGTTTTTGATTAATGGTTCCGTCTTATAAGCAGTTTCATTTGACATTTAAATAAGTATTTGTAAATTTTAACTTAAATTAAATTAGGTGCTTCTTATGCTATATTCCCGCGCCGTTTCTGCGAATAAGAATGCGACAGGAACCAAGCGAAGATGATCGAGATGAACTGGAATCAGACAATTTTAGGTTAGTGCAATGTTGATAGGTGTTTTGAAGTCGTCGTGGCCTTAAGGATAAGACGTCCGGTGCATTCGTTGTTGCGATGCACCGGTGTTCGAATCCCGCGGGCGGGGTACCAATTTTTCGAATGAAATATGTACTTAACAAATGTTCACGATTGACTTCCACGGTGAAGGAATAACATCGTGTAATAAAAATCAAACCCGCAAAATTATAATTTGCGTAACCACTGGTGGAANGTTCACGATTGACTTCCACGGTGAAGGAATAACATCGTGTAATAAAAATCAAACCCGCAAAATTATAATTTGCGTAACCACTGGTGGAAGGACCTATTGTGAGTCCGCACGGGTAGGTACCACCGCCCTGCCTATTTCTGCCGTGAAGCAGTAATGCGTTTCGGTTTGAAGGGTGGGGTAGCCGTTGTAACTATACTGACTAAGCTAAGCAATAAAAAAAATAAAAAATAAATAAATAGGTGTTTCGACTTTATGGCGGGAACGCGAGATGTGAAGCTGTGTGATTTGTTTTATTTTGTCTTTTTAGTGTTTCTTGAGGTTTAAATGTGTAATAATGGTGGTTTATTAACCGTTTAATATCGGTGAAAGTGCACAAATGTGGGAAAATTAAACAAAGACGCTGGACGTTAATTCCTGGGGATCCTCCAAAAAGTCCACTGAAAAAATCTCAGTAAATGACACCCATTTTACTGAGATTATATTTCATCTCATCTCATCTCATCTCGTCTCGTCTCGTCTCGTCTCGTCTTGTCTCGTCTCGTCTCGTCTCGTCTCGTCTCATCTCATTTCACTCCATATCATCATTTTTCATAAAAATAAGAATGTGGATTGAAAAAAAGATGTGACTTAGGGGTCTTAGTTACTAGGTCATAAAATCCCTTTAAAAAACATAGGTTTTTTAGTTGTCGAAGCTCGTAGGCTACGTGAGATCGATCAATTAGGCTGTATAACGATTGTCCCGCCCTTAGGACCACTAAGTTAACTGCTTCGTGACAGAAATGATTTTTTATCATTATTTCTCGCTTAGTACCTAAATTGGCTCCTTACACGCGTCTTAAAAAGACTTGAATGGATTGTTTTAAAGAGGATATGCGATAGAAGGATGACATATGGTAGGTCGGAATGGAAACGCAGGACATGCTATGTCAACACCACACAGTGGAGGACAAGGGCACGAAGGGACAGAGGAATTTCTTGATGGCTCGTCTGACTGTCGCGGTTTCGATTGCCATCTCTTGAACCCTCGTCCTCTTAAGTAATTAGTAAATATTATTTACTTAGAAAACATTGAATAAATAGCGGCTTGGCTGTGCCCCCATGAGCGATGGTGACTCACCTTAAAGTGAGCGGTATGCCTCCAACGACTATGAAAAAAAAACTAGCACCCCCGTCGAGTCGAACCGGGGTAAAATCGCATTGCCTTAACTCGGGCCTCTTATCCTTTAGGCCACGGTTCCAAATATGTTGCGATTAGTGCTTAGGGCTTAAGCGAATCTAATTACCTCAAGAAATATGATAATGATCAGAACGCTGCCGATGGCCCCACCGAAGGTATCGAAGTAATCAATCAGTCGAGTGGTGCAGCCGGGGAACGCGTTGGGGGCATAGCAGGTGTTGTCAACGGGGCTGGCGCAGCACGAGGGCGGCAGCTGTGACAAGATACCGTCGTACGAAGAGGGGCCGGTTGTTCCACAGCAATTGAACTGAAATTCAAAGAAGTTAAAATTATCGCCAGAAGAAGGAATCTTGAAGAATGCGGGCAGGATGACGGAGTAAATAGAATCCGGTATTCGTTTTTTTTTATTGTTTAGATGAGTGGACGAGCTCACAGCCCACCCGGTGTTAAGTGGTTACTGGAGCCCATAAACATCTACAACGTTAATGCGTCACCCACCTTGAGATATAAGTTTTAAGGTCTCAAGTATAGTTACAGTCAAGTATAGTTATAGTCAGTATAGTATAGTTCTAGTCTCAAGTATAGTTATAGTCAAGTATAGTTTGCTAAATGTTGTCGATACTGCGAGTGTGTACGGTCGGGTCAACTTGTCGAGATCCAGCGGTAACACTCGATGGACTAGAGAGAAGGTAGACACGAATTTGTCTGCTCCTAACATCCCGCAGACTTGTGATGAAGTTAATTAGATTGCAACCAACTGAGATGGGGTCAAATTAAGTCTTTGTAACGTTCGGATTATAAAGAAAGTTCTTACCAGAGCTTCCATGACGTGATATACGTCTCTTAAGTTGCTCGTGTTGAACGCTGTGGTCACCCAGCTGGTTATTGTGCTGGTGATGTCGGACAGAAAACCGAATACCACCACAGTCAGGTAGATCTTCACGGCCACCAGTATCACCATGAATATGGAGTACTGAAATAAATAAAAACCCAATTAATGTTGTGTAGATCTCTCAACTAGATCTAGGTCGGATCTGCGTCTGTTTGTGTACGAGAAGAGCACGGGATCAGTACAGAGCTGCAGAAGACTGTGTCTGTAGTAGTGTAGTATAGGACTAGAGGCTAGATCTAGGTCGGATCTGTGTCTGTTTGTGTACGAGAAGAGCTCGGGATCAGTACAGAACTGCAGAGGACTGTGTATGTAGTAGTGTAGTATAGGACTAGAGGTTAGATCTAGGTCGGATCTGCGTCTGTTTGTGTACGAGAAGAGCTCGGGATCAGTACAGAACTGCAGAGGACTGTGTATGTAGTAGTGTAGTATAGGACTAGAGGTTAGATCTAGGTCGGATCTGCGTCTGTTTGTGTACGAGAAGAGCTCGGGATCAGTACAGAACTGCAGAGGACTGTGTATGTAGTAGTGTAGTATAGGACTAGAGGTTAGATCTAGGTCGGATCTGCGTCTGTTTGTGTACGAGAAGAGCTCGGGATCAGTACAGAGCTGCAGAGGACTGTGTCTGTAGTAGTGTAGTATAGGGCTAGAGGCTAGATGTAGGTTGGATCTGCGTCTGTTTGTGTACGAGAAGAGCTCGGGATCAGTACAGAGCTGCAGAGGACTGTGTCTGTAGTAGTGTAGTATAGGGCTAGAGGCTAGATGTAGGTCGGATCTGTGTCTGTTTGTGTACGAGAAGAGCTCGGGATCAGTACAGAGCTGCAGAGGACTGTGTCTGTAGTAGTGTAGTATAGGACTAGAGGCTAAATGTAGGGCGGATCTGTGTTTGTTTCTGTACGAGAAGAGCTTACTTACGGTTATCAGCATACATCTTGATTCCTTTATCGCTCCACAGCACGCTAGGAATGCAATGATGAATATGATGCATCCGAGGGCGATTATCCCTATGGGCAAAGCGTTGATTGGTAGAATGTCTTGAAGTTCCCGTAGATTTACTAAGACGGCCACTCCAAGACCTATAATAGCTAGACCTGCCAACTGTAAAAGGGGAGAGGTTATTACTCAACCGCTTTGAGAACTCATGTTTACGACTTTACTTGTTTTTTTTATAGATGGGTGGACGAGCTCACAGCCCACCTGGTGTTAAATGGCTACCGGAGCCCATAGACATCTATAACGTAAATGCCACTACCCACCTTGATATGAGTTCTAAGGTCTCAGTATAGTTACAACGGCTGCCCCACTCTTCAAACCGAAACGCATTACTGCTTCACGGCACAACTAGGCAGGGTGGTGGTACCTACCTGTGCGGGCTCACAAGAGGTCCTACCACCAGTAATTACGCAAATTATAATTTTGCGGGCTTGAGTTTTATTACACGATAATATTCCTTCACCGTGGAAGTTAATCGTGAACATTTCTTAAGTACGTATTTCATTACAAAAATTGGCACCCGCGTGCGGGATTCGAACACCGGTGCATCACTTTAAAGTTTAAACGAATGCACCGGATGTCTTATCCTTTAGGCTACGACGACTTCTAACTTGTTCCACCATAACTTTTAAAAGCCTAGACAAATTTGGATTTCTGTAACGTTATTATCTATAACTAGAGGTCCCGCAGTAGTCGAAATTCGATTATAATTAATTGGAATTGTAAGTTTGTACACTATTATGATTGTAATTTATACTTCTATAATCACAAATTTCGCCAAGACTGCACTATAAAACATATTAACAAAGACAAACCATATTCTATTCTCAATTTGACAACAGACGTCAAGAACAAAAGTTTGACAATAAATAGTATGCATGCGTGTGTGTGTCAAATACATGGTATGTAGTGTGTGTAATGTTTTCTTTATTGCTTTAATGTATCTTATATGCATTATTTAAAAAAAATATTATCATTGTGCACTTCTTCTCTATATTCTCTATAAGTGTGCAAAATTTCATACTCCTCCGTGCGCGCAATTTTCGTAAAAAGGGATACAAAGTTTTTGCTTCACGTATTAATATATAGACTACATCCCGCGTGACACTGGCTCTCTCTGCTTTTCTCTTTAAACTTAATTTATATTTAATTTATTCTTTAATTCACTATCAAAATTATTTAGTCTTTAATATATTTAAAAACTTTTAATTGCGTTTATTTAACAATTATTGTATCGTGATCATAAGTGACTCGTTTTTATGTGTTTTATTTTGAAGTAAAAGATCGATAGAGCCCACGGCGGACCCGGCGTTAAATATTTACTTAAAACCATGGAAATTACAACATGAATGTCGATACGCCTTGGAACACGAGACAGAAGCGTCAGTCGTGAATAGCGGGTGTGTCAGCTTTTGGACCGGAACGCAAGACTGATACGCGGCAGAACTAGAATGGTGATGCTAAGTCAGTTCTGCGAGGTGGGTCTTAAGCAGCGCCTTCCTCACGGCGAAGTCTTTTACGAGGAATTGGATGCACAAGAGGATCTTTGTCTTCTCCGTTTGCTCCATTGCAAGCGCCAGAATCTGACATTACTGTCTGTACATTCTGTCACCCCCCTCGACCGGGTATCCGTAAATTCCCAGCGTCAAAAAAAGCATGGTGATTTCCATTTCATTGATGTGATTAATTATTGACGGCGTTGTTGACCTCATTTAATTATTGCTTCGTCATGGAGGTCGTTGGTAGTTGTGTTCTGTGCACGTATTTCCTTAGAAAAGTAGGAAGTTGACGGTGAGATTCCCCTTAGAAATAAGGTGACGCTCTACAAAATTTGGTGTCAGTGGGTCTCGTTTCCGATCCGGTGGTAGATTCTGCGAAGCACTAGTCTTGCTAGGGTTCATGTTAACAACGTCGTCAGGTTTGAGCCCCGTGAGCTCACCTTCTAGTTAAGGTTACGCTGATATAGCCTCTCAATGCTCTCAGCTAGGTATGGAAAAAAAAAGGTGAGGTTCGAATGTCGGCTGAGTCGCATCGCTTTACACAAGCACGTCGGGCGACTTGTCCATTAGGCCGCGACGACTTCGAACAAATCCTCGACGCGCTAAACAATAGATGCACCATGAGATAATCATCAAATTACTAAGCTATTGCATAGCTTTTATCGCGGGCTTTTAGTGCGGCGACCGAATCAAGAAATTCCGTAACGAAAATAAAACCTAACACCCCCAGTCCGCCTACCATGTAGCTCGCGTTCAATACATTTACACGTTGCGCTGGTGTAGTGTTTGTGAATAAGCGCGCGGCGTGACGTCGCACTGCATGCGCATCATGAAAAGTCTGCCCATCTTCTCTCGCGCGGTCTAGCTTATGAGTTTGAAGGGGACAATGTTTTGCTTTTGTTAATTTTTGTAACTATAGCGTGGTCTTATTTTATTATTGTTTTAATATTAAATTATTATTGTCTAATTATAATTGCATAAGTTGATAAATAATTCTATGCAATAGCGTTATAGCGGCAGTCCCCGAGTGTCACACGTGTTTTTTTTTAATTATGTGGCAGGTAGCCATCATATAACGCAAGTTAATTGACAGATGCCGGAATCTTGCTTACGATATTTTCAAGATAAACTTTCGTATACACAAGCTCCGAACACCAACATTTGGACCGTCGGTCTGCCGAGAAAAATCACCCGCTCGGTGGAGGATCTTCTTTTCGTCATAAAATCTCCACAAATCTTTTTAAAAAAGTCAGTGATCATGATTTACTTACCGAAAAAACAAGATTGGCGATGAAGAGTACATATTTAGCTATAAATTCGGGGCAACACATTGTTCTTAGATGTTTTCTAAATTGACTTTTATCGTTGAACCACTTTTATCGAATGTTTGTACTGAAATGGCACAAACGGATAACGCTTAATTGTAGATAAGATAACTTTATATCTGATGGACTTAATCGCGGGCCTGGTTTCGGCTGTTATTCAGCCCCCGCGGGTCGGAGGTGCTCGGGTAGCTAGCTGTTAGCAAATTCCACCCCTCCTGGCCGAGCCTTTGCTCGCCCACCTGTCCTGGTGAAACTGGAAAGGCCTCCGGGCAACCAGTAATCCTTCAATCATAAAGAAAAACATTAAACTCTTAGCACTTAATGCCAATTTTTTATTTATTTATTTATTGCGTACAGGGCTGGACGAGCTCACAATCCACCTGGTGTTAAGTGGATACTGGAGCCCATAGACATCTACAACGTAAATGCGCCACCCACCTTGAGATATAAGTTCTAAGGTCTCAGTATAGTTACAACGACTGCCCCACCCTTCAAACCGAAACGCATTACTGCTTCACGGCAGAAATAGGCAGGGTGGTAGTACCCACCCGTGCGGACTCACAAGAGGTCCTGCCACCAGTTTAAATGGAAATCTGGATGTGGGTTCGTATGCCCCTAACACTGCAATTATTGAATTATAAAAACCTAAATTACTTCGTGCGAATGCTGGAACTCATAGTACTTAGTGGATTCAGTGGCTCCTAGGCTTTACCAGCGCAGCACCGGAGCAACGGACATCTGTGTTATTTAAAACCTTTGCTGTCATAAACAGTGCCTTACGAGAGATCGGCTTTCTCACGAGAGCGACTGATATCGATGTGAACATACAGCTTAGAAGCATACCTACAGCTTATCTGCCATCGAAGTTAAGGCAGCGCATTGCATTGAAGTTCTCGGCTATGATCCGTTGCCATGGAGGCTAGTGTCGTCTACAAACGTGACATACGGAAACACGTGCAGCTTATTTTGCGATGTGTTCAAATAATCAGATTTCCTTATATTTGATCTTTGTTTTTTTAATCGTTCCTATTGTTTTACGATTACTGATAAGTGATAAGTCGATGACACGCCCATCACAGGCACTCGCTTCACGAGTGAGCGATGAGTCATTGAAAAATATCTCATTTTTATCGATTCCCCCAGAGTCTCCGCTACGGCTACACACAACATGTGGCCCGGAGCCTGCCACATGCAGCGCAACTGGTCACAAGGAGCCCTCGGGCAGTAGCTTGGCTGTATCCCCCTAGTTTTGCTAGTTCCAAGCGCGACAGCTACTCTTACGATCAGACCGACTGCTGCTCTAACAAAAAAGAAATTCACTTATCTTTTTGATAGGGTACTAATGGAGAAATTGTAACGATTGTCTAGAATGTGTTTAATTCATGATTTAGGTGGGAGTGTCGGGCATAGTCTGTCTGAGAAACCATGATGGTTCGAAGGTCATTAGGGGACCGCTATCATCGCTCTTCTTAGTTTTATGAGTCAGCTATAAAACCTGTTGCATTGGATGGACATGGATGCTGGACCACGAAAGCGGTGCTACAATGAAAAGCGCACGCAAAAATGCGAATGTTGAGCTGGATGTTTGCAGGAACAATAATGTGGAAGTGGAAGATTATCCTGGTGCGGGAATTTCAGGCGAAGAGAGGATGATCGTCTGTCCAAGAAACGTGGGTAGAAACTAGACGGTAATGTCAAGGCTGTCTTAAAAAGATCTGGAGGATCTTCAAGAAAAGGGTATAAGGAGGATAAGGGAATATGAAGAAGACGCTTCAAACCAGCAATCCGTAGGCATCACATACGATGTTCGTAGAGCGTCCTGTAGATACAGTATAATAACGCCCACCGATCGCTGCTAGGGTTGCTTCGTATCTGCACTGCATCAAGAATGATTGCAGAACGCAACGTAGGTTTTATGCTGCCCTTCACAAGCAATGCGTGACCTTGCTCGGGGCAACCCTGGCGTAGATCTAATGATGACAGCTGACTCGATCAACTCGCCGCACTGACTCCATTGCCGTCTCGGGTGGGATCGGACGTCGGTCCGAGTGTCGGCGTACTGTTATATCCCTAACCTGTATAGACTAATGCTTACCAAACACCTTACTCATCATAAGCTCTCTCACAGTGATTTCATGAGAACATACCAGGCTCAGTTCGGGTCAGATATTCATCGAAGTGAGACGTTTACCAATTTTCCTCACTATTTCTAAATTCTTTTATTATAATTAATTATTCATTAAAAATATTGTGTAGTGTCGAATAAATCCTTTTTTTAAAAAGAGTTCGGCCTTCTCACTACTAACATTTGGTGGCAGCTTAAGGGATTTTAAGTAAAGAAAATCCGGGAAACGCCTTCGTGTGTGAACAGTGTACAAAAGTTGTAAATTCAAAAACTAATTTCGGCTGTATTCGCCGTTGTGAGTTCTGCATCTCTCATTTGTGAAAAGTGAAAATAACATGTTCGTGAACATCTTATANAGTTTCTCGCCGGATCTTCTCAGTGGGTCGCGTTTCCGATCCGGTGGTAGATTCTGCGAAGCACGACTCTTGCTAGGGTTCGTGTTAGCAACGTCATCAGGTTTGAGCCCCGTGAGCTCACCTACAAAAGTTAGGGTTACGCTGACATAGCCTCTCAAGGCTCTCAGCTTAGGTAGGAAAAAAAAAAAAAAAAAAAAAAGAGAGCGAAAAATTATTCTGCCCGCATCTGGTTTTTTACGTGCACAGATTTCTCACGAAAAAACATCCACTTTTATATATCGATTTTAGTAAAATTGGGTCGTAACATGAAAAAAGACGATAGAAAAAATTCGTGTCAAATAAAGTAATGTATCTGAAATCTATGAATAAATTTACTTTCATAGCACGCATAAATCTTTACGTCTGTAATAACATAATACTGATTCTACTAAACACCTCTCTTGCTTAAATGTAAAACGTCAAAACAGTTTATCAGTACGTTGCATGAAGAAGTTTCTGGAAAGAAGGATCAAACTGAGAAAATAAGGCCTTCTCTTCACCAATCTAATAATGTTTCGTTAACCTTACGATTCGACTTATTTTTCCCGAAATACGTTAGGAAAGAGGTCGAGGTCACGTCGCGGCTCGTGGTACAGGTATTAGGCATTCGGCCAACAGATGGGACAATAGTTCCAAACAAACGGGATGATATGTTTTTCTTTTTCATTTTTTTTTTAGAATTACAGCTTTACTTTACTTAGCTTTGAGAGAATTATTCTAATTTTAAATATAATATTGGAGAAAAAAACTAAATTAATATTGATTGTTTGATTTTCTTTTGTTTTTCCATCTTAAAAACAGTGTTAAGTTTTAGTTGTAGAGAAAGTGTGATATTTGTAATGTAGTTAATAAAAATATACGAAAAGGTAATACAGAGGAGGTTGCAAAATGCATTGACAATTTTTTATTTTTTTTAGCTTATTTGTATATAGTTTTTTAATTTTTCTTTTACTTAAAAAAAATAATTAAAAATAAGGCTAAATATTTTGGTAAGGTAAAGACATCATAAATATCTTTCTCAGCTAAAATTTATCAGATATTCGGCCTAAAAAGGATTAACGAAAAGTATTAAATATTTTTCCTTAATTGTATTTTGTTTTGTTATTTAATAATCTCTTTTAATTTAGGAAATTAATTTTTTTTTCATAAACCACTGCAAACATTCGTCTGAAGTTACGATGCTCATTTTATTTAGTCCGTTCGTATTTTAAGTAACAATGATGTCATTAAAATCAGGTGAGTCGTGAATTTCATACATTTGATGTTACGTAGGCCAAAAAAATTTAAAAACTAAAGTCAATCTAAACAGATTTTATGATGTTTTTCAAATTTAAATTTGAACACAAAATATCTAGAGTAACATAACTTATACTTGACTTCAAAGATGGAACTTTGACTAATAAATTTACGGTAAAAGCAAGTATTTTACGACTGGCTACGAATGGCTTCTGGTCGGAGGACCAACATTACTCACGATAATGATCTCGCTATCGACTTTTTAACAATGAAACTCGTGAAAACTTGAACCCCGCAGCTCATTAACAACGCATTCCATTCAAACGCAAAGTGAAATGAATTTAGATTAAAACAAAAAAAATTAGAACAAAAATTTAAGTTAATAATTTCTAAATTTTTTTTAGGTAAACAAAGACGGAACCTGAATTTAGTCATTTTGAAATCTCAATCATTCTGATATTTAAACGAATAGTTTTAATATAAAACGGACTTTAAGCTATGCGGATAATTTGTTGGACGTCATCCGAAGATTAACCGCGTCAGCTATGAGTGGAAGACATCTTCGTGTGCCCGAGGTTCGGGTTTGTGGTGCGCCGCCCCAGGAGGAGGATGACCCACCGACAGCCTTGCCTCCGTTCGCTTTAACCTTGGCTTCGATTCCTCGACGACGGCACTCTTGGATTTGTAGGTAAGTTAAGATGAAAGATATATCGATCGATCAATAGGTACTGAACAACGGTTTCCTACCAATGGGTGGAGTCATTCACGCTGTGATAACTGTGTGCTCCAGTATCGACTAAACAATAGTTTATGTACTCGTCAGCCTGTATAGACAAATTAAAAGAAAAAAAATGTTGAAGTCAAGCATCGTTGATGAGATCAGAACGCACGACCGATTTCGTTACAACTACAATTTTCAAATCTTATACCTTTAATTAAACGAGCAATTCTATATATAATCTGAATCTCGGAAACGGCTCCAACGATTTTCATAAAATTTAGTATACAGAGGATTTGGGGGGCGATAAATCGATCTAGCTACGATTTATTTTCAGAAAATGTTGTTTTATTCGTGTTTTCAATAATCAACTTTTCCCGACATCTATTGGCGAATAATAATACTATTTTTCTTAATTGAGGGCAACTAACCGCTTTAAAGACACAACAAGATGGCGTTATCAAAAAAAAATCATCATCTAGTAAGCTATGAAACGAGTCGAAATTCGAAATTCAAATCGATGTCCAAGCGT